CAGGGACACAATTTGTATAAGCCCAATGGGCTTCCTTCCTCTCCTGTACAATTTATATATCTTTTACTATTTAATTTCTTACTGCACTTTCTGTGCAAATAAATTAAACTAAACTAAAAATGCAGAAGTCTAAGAGACCCTCAATGTTTACAACTAACTCTTCATCAGCAACCATTCAATGGTGACACTTTCCAACCAAAAATCTCTTGACCAATTATGGTGTGGTACTGACACCAGAGCCAAACCATAGGAAAAAGGTGCTCCGATGTTTCATTTCACTTGTTATTAAGACGGTGCAACACACAGGTATATTTGGCACAAAGACAAGCATGTACGTCAAGAAGTTGGCTGAATAAGGAAACGTTAATATCGTATCTATGGTGAAAACCTCATTCGGCGTCGATACGGCATAAAGAGTACGTTACTGAACACGTAACGGCTACTCTGTTGAAGTCCCCCAGCTAACGTCGACCACAGTTAACTTGTTGAATTTGGCTAACAACAGCTTGTGCTAATTTGGCTAATGTTAATGCTCGGTTAACGTTAGCTAACTGTCCACTTAGCATGGCAGGCAAACCCACAACAGCGCTCAAACACGGCTTTTAAACTCAACTTACATCTTTCTGTTCTTGTTTGACGTTGAACAGGTTGAGCCGCTGGAGTCGCGCTTTCATCCCATCCGCCATAAACTTTACAAAAACAAAATCTGAGTGGTCACTTCTCCGAGACTCGGTCCTGACAGTATGGGACACTTCTGTATCATTTCATTGGAAAGTTGATTTTGCTCCCTGAAGCCGAGGATCCTGCGGTTAGACGTCAGGTTGGCTATCATAAAACCACTACACATCCTGTTCAAAACTTCCAAAGCAAAATAATTCCAATCACATATAAGTTCTCACAGCGCTTTCATGGCTTTTGTTTTGAAGGCAACGCTACACACTTCCGTCTTTTCTACAGCTAACACCGGTTACCTTGACCCAGCTGAATCCACCAATACGCCGGGAGACTGGGGTGGACACAGTTCCTGTCCCGGGGCAGTCAAACTTTAGGCGGTAGAGTTTTGGGTGGTATTCAGTTTGCCGTTACACGATGTAGATTATCTTCGTTGTTATGACTGAATATAAACAGTATTTCCTGTCTGCAGGCAAGTCACCGCCAATCAAGCAGGAACGCATGCCTTTGGGAAACACTGCAGAGACTGGACGAGAGCTGGGAATGAACTTCGTGTTTTTGTGTCAGGGTCCTCTGTTCCACAATTTATATAGTTGTGTTTCAAGCTCCACAGCCTTAGTGCAGAGCTGATCACACCCCCTATTGTAGATTGCTTTGACAGGGTAGCATCCATCACATTTACATGTCTTCAAATGAAATAGTAGGGAAACTACTGTAGGCCATATACATGTTCATCATGGTGTTGTAAGACTCAATGAAAAGTTAAACTAAACAAACTAAACATTTGATAATAGAAAAAACTCTATTGGTGAGGAAGAATGGCGTATCATGTAGTCTGATAAATATTTACTAATATCTAATGAAGATGAAACAGTGGGTTTGGATTGCAGTTACGAAAAAAAAAGAAAAGAAAATGACATTCATGTTCAATTTTCTGTAACTAATCTCATGCCTTTAACTTGTCAATTAGTGCAGAGTAGACAAAAAATCTAAAACTGTAGTATCTTATCTTTAGTCATTACCATCTGTTCAATTGCAGAATAGTTATTTAAGCAAGAGTAAAAAACAAAATTCAATTAAAATACTTAATTAAAAACATAGCTTATTAAATAACTAAAAACTAAAACTAAATAAATAATTACATAATTAGGTACTCATAACAGTGATTAAATTGGCTAATAAAACACAAATTGGCAGCAATATTAGACAAAACCACTGCAAACACTAAATCCTTTAAAAAAAAATGTTCACACAAACACATTGTGAACTTTGTGACACGTCAGTGGTGACACCCAGTGGTTGCTGTTTGCTGGTTGTGTTTTTAGTACTACTCCAGGAGCAGCAGGGGAAATCCTACAGACCCTGTGAGACAGTTTCCGACCCCTGACACAAAAGAGAAGCCCCTCTTTATTTGTGCAGTGCTTAAAATGTGCACTAATAACACCTTTTGTCCTAATGTTTTTTTTTTATACCACAAACAATGTTTGTAAGAGACGCAATGTCCTACATCTTTATATGCAAATAAAAATAGGTTGGGTGAGTAGCTAAGCAGTTAGCCCCTATCTTCTTCAGGCTTTGCTCCCTCTTACTTTTTCACATACACTCACATATATGTTTGTACTTCTATACAAGTGAGGACCATGACTGGCATAATGTATTCCCTAGCCTTTAACGCTTCACACTTAAACAGTCTTAACTCTCACTTTTGAGGAACAGAACCATCTAGGACGTCCTCACTCTCAAGGTCAAAAAAAATAATAGGAGAGTGCCCACACACACTCACACAATTCAGAAAAGTGTTGAGCAGAATTATACACAACCTTTTCATTGGGGTAGTGTCCAGCACAGATTTAAAATGGCACCTTTTTGCATCTCTTTTGTGCTACGTTTCTAGATTTTTCCCTGTTTCTCCCAATGGATTGTTTTCCCCATCCTATTGTCTTGCTTGTAAGTCACTGTGTTAACCTGGGGAGGGTGTGGATAACTGTGTACCCCTCCTCCAGTCCACACTTAGTTTGTTGCCAGCTGCATCTTTTCATCTACCAGCAAAAAGCTTCACCAGGATGACTTAACTCACATAGAGGCGCTCTGACTAACCACAAGAAATCACAGTGGCACTTCAACTTCAATACTGCAGTAATGCTTTTGAACCCCTTGAAGAACACATTTCAAATCTTCTAGAAATTCATGGTAGATAAAGAGGTACACAAGGACCCATAACACACCTGTTATGATACAGTACATTTGTGCCTCTCCTGGAGCTTTTTTTTTTCTTTTTGAATGTGAGCCATAACACAAACACTTGAATCCGTGCACCACCTGAAATTGAGATGAAAATTTAATTGTATGAAAATGTTATTTTACAATCACCTCCCCCACTTGAAAGAGACACTAACCACTGATGCATGATTCTGTGTGTGTGTGTGGTATAGTATTTCCTGTAGAATATGTTAACAGATCTGATTGTGTGAAGGCCAGTGTTACATTTGATTCCCATTCTAGCTATTAATAGTTTTTGCACATTTATTGTATTGAATAAGAAGAACTTACTGGTAGCTAACAACAGCTAATAAACTCAAGTGAAAGCAAGAATTCAAAGCCAGACAGCAGTGCCCGGGGATTGCATTCATAATCAGCATGCATGTAATTGTGTGTGTGTGTGTGTCTAAGCCTAGTGTGACAGAGCCAGAGCGACAGGTGGTCAGCCTGACATCACCGTCACACTTTTTGGTGGAGCTGAAAAGAGAACACACGCACAGACACACACATTATCACACACAATATCACACACACAAACTCCACATTAAACACATCACAACGGGCGCTGGGCCACAACAGGAAATGGTCTCCATGGTAACACGCTTCTACATCCTGCTTGGTCGATGTAAAAGCAAACTCAATTTACTCTCAATCAAGAAAACAAACACACACACACACAAATACCTATACACACACCAAAACATGTGAACAGCCTGTGTACAGTAGATGAACACACGCACGCATGCACGCACCCACACACACACGCACACACACACACACACACACACACACACACACACACACAGAGTTATATTTATAGTATATCACATAGTTCCTGCTGGCTGTTTGTATAGTGGGAGCCTATTTGTTACGTGAGCCCAAGCCTGTGTGCATGCACCTGGTTCAGAGCAAGACAAACTCACAGATAAAGGCCATGCTGATATGAAGCATTCTGCCATCTTTGATTAATTTAATCTCTCATTTAATATCTCCCATTATCTTCATCTCCCTGATTTGGACAGCTCTTTTAAGTCTGGTATGCTGTCAAATGACCGACTCTGACACCAGCTGCTGCTTTACAGTGCACACTGGGGCTGCTGGCAAAGCACGCCATGTGGAGGAGAGTTGAAAGGATTAGAGGTCAGAGCAGGGTGTGTTGGTCAGCAGACTGTGCCAATGTATTGTTTGTGGATTTTATGTTTGTTGGTGTTGTTGAATGGAGTTAAAGCACAGTGTACATAGGCTGCAATAGTGCCAAAGCCAGATCCAGTTCCTCTCAGAGGGATGTCATAACAAATACTGCTGCGGTCACACTGAAGGCCCAAGCAGCTTTTTGTGATTAAATATAAGAAGGAGATTGTTCCCAGGCTCTAGTTGTGTTTCTCATGTTACTCTAATCTGTACTTCCTTACAATCTGTGCTATAATCTGATATGCCATATCTCTGTGAGCTTTTATAAAATGAAGATGGTGTTGGTGTGTTAATTTTCCCTGAGTTATGAGACAGTTTCCCTTGACATATGAAATTATTTTGCATTTATTTTCACAGTGCATCTGCCAAATTGCTCTCTTTGGAGCTCTTATGGTTGTCTTGTGTCAGTCTGGTGTCTGGCGTTAGTTATAAGGATTTTTTTTTTTATAGCTGACAAATCATAATAATTGGTATTATATGACACTGAATATGGAGTGATGATTCAGTCTGGGGCACACGGTTATATTTAGAGCTTTTCCACAATGTGCACTTTATTAAATAAACAACTAACTATTCTCTACAGATTGATCTGATCTCATCATGAGGCATCATGTTTGTTGTTCTTGATTATTCTTGATTATTCTTCTTCTTATTCTTATTATTATTATCATCATCATCATCATCATCATCATCATCTGAGCTCAGATTTGTACAATGTGTAAGATTCTTTCATGCTTATATTATGACTCAGCTATCTAGTTGTGATTGTTATTGTGATATAGTTGTTTCAGAATATGCTTACTCCTTCATATTATAAGTAATACGCTAGTCTTTAGTCTCATGTCATCTAATTTATGCACAAATCGACACACGCCTACCTTGGTGCTGTCCTGGCACTGGAAGACATAGCAGGCACAGTCTGGTGTCTTTCTGACCAGGCAGCCAAAGCTGTTGGGTTCTTGGCTGTTGTGAATTAGCTTAGTCACCTGGTGAGGACGACATTCAAACAGCACTGTATGTGTTAGAGGGTCCCAGACAACTCCCTCTCCCAGAACGGATACACATCGCACCCATGATGCCGACACACATAGAAAAACCATCTGATTCGAGGTGGAAGGGCTCAACTCTCCAGCTGCAGGCCCTGCAGACTGCAACCCTGTGGCTGGATCCTTCTCTGCAGGCCGAGATCTGCTGATCTCAGCCACCACCCAGGGCAGCATGGCCATGGTGGTGAGGTGGTGGACCGGCAGAGAACCAATCAATGTCAGTTTGTATCGTACCTCCTCCTCCTCCTCCTCTCCCTCCACCTTCCCTATGCATGTTGCAGTCCTCTCCCTAGCACGGGTGAGTTTCTGAGGAGACTGTGTGGAAGATGTGAGATGTGGAAATGAAGGACACGACTGCTGGTTTGAAGTTAGATTAATGCGGGGTTTCTCAGAGCTCCCTGGCCTGTGCGATTCATCTTTTCTGGGCTTCACTTCAAAGTAAAGTCCTTCCATGGTTTGTGTGGCGAGAGGCAGTCGTCTGCCTCCACTTTATCTGCAAAACATCAGTTAGAGGAAAGAGATCTTTAAAACCAATAGGTAAAAGCCGCAAACACATACAAATTCTGTTTATTCTATAAGACTTTAAAGTGTCAGAGGGAAATATACTAAGCAAACATTTATTTTGAAATTTAGAATTAATGTTATTGCTGGATGTGTGCTTCACTTTGTCATCGGTCTAGAAGCAGAACAGTTTTCCCAGGACAAGTGAATCAGCTGAGTGTTACAGTATGGTAGCCAGAGGGTCAGTTAGAGGGTACTACTAAATGACCACCTTGTGTTGTTTACCCAACCAGGAACACATGGCTTCACTACTGACCTAGACTTTTAGTCTCAAGGACACAAAAACAAACACATGACATTTAAACTATGAGTATCATATTTGGCTACTGGTGCGTGTCAGAGAGAGAGGAGAGGCAGGGGTCCAGCTGACCTCCCCTGCCCTACATAGTCCACAAACGTAGCTCGCATTATGATCACTGATAGACAGAGGTGTAGCGTTAAGATTTCTATGTGAAATCAGTGGGGAAAGGTACGTGCAATAACGTCAACACATTAAAAGAGGGACGAGAGGAAAATATTCACAGCGATTAACATCATAACCCCTACAGAACGAGAACGATCACGTTATTACTGAATTACAAAACCTAAGCGGCTGCTTACTCACCTCATGCTTGGCCTCGCAATATAAATATATCCTCTACTTGAATCAGCTGGGACAGTACAGCATGCGATATAGGTCGGTCTTCTGCACCAGAACAGCATACGGAAGTGAAAACTAGATTTTATTTCCGAGGAGCGCAGCCCCACATGCCTGATTTTACCCGTTATTATAATTTTACGCACGGAACAAGTTATTTTTTTACGCACGAGGTTGCGCAAACAGAAAAATTAGAGTGTTTAATGTATGGTCCTGTCAAAGTGCACAAGAAATAATTAAACTATTTAAATAATGATTTCATCTTCTCCTCATGTTGACATTGCCTTCTTACCTGTCCACAGTTAGTCCTGCCTGCTGCGTGCAGCCGTAGAAGTGCAACCAAGGGAGGTTGTTGTGTATGTCACAGCGACCACACACATACAGAGAGAGAGAGAGAGAGAGAGAGAGAGAGAGAGAGAGAGAGAGAGACCCAGCTCTCTAGCTCTCTCCAGTTTGAGTTAAATATAGAAGACGCCGCCGACCCTACCTCCCTGCTCTCCTCTCAATACTCAGATGGGGCATGACAAGTGCATGCTGCACGCATGGGCTGCCGAAGGATGCATGGGCGACGTGTCCGCACGTAGCCTGTGTATGTGTGTACCCGTTATCTCCTCGGGACCTTTTCCGGTGTAAATATCGACCATGTCAGAACCAGTTGTCCTCATGGAGCCCAAAGCCCAGTCCCAATGAATCAAAACTGAGGTCCTGGTTAAGGTTAGGGGTAGGGTGTGTATTGAGGTTACTTTAGGCTAAGGTTAGGGTGTCCACAATAAATAGAGGTCAATGCCATGTCCCAACAAGGATAGCTGCGGCTGTGTGGATACATTCTGTGCAAAATCATTTAGCTCAATTTTATTTAATTGATTAAATGATATTTTATTTGAATAAATTAAATAAAATTAATTTGTCTCAGTGTATTTTAAATGAGTACATTCAATATACCTTAATTTCAGATCACATCAGGTGTTATGTCTGACAGAAGCTCTGACAGTTTTTACAGTTTTACTCAGTTTTAAGCAAGGCTATATTTTCATGATAAACTCTTTTTATGGTCTTGGTCGTCTGGATTTTTTAAAACTTTGCATCCTATCACCCGACCCTCGAATGAGAAGTGTGATTTGCTACACATTACACATATTTTTTTATTTACAATGGCCTTATTGGAAATTTGCCTTAATATATTACTTTCATGTTAAAATGGTTGGCTTGACCACATTATACCAGGATTTATGAATGGCTTACACTCACACAACAATGTGTCTCAAGTGACTGAGCTTGGAAAAACTGCTTTTGGCATCCCACCTGGAACTCACCAGAAAGCACTTTAGAAAAGAATGCCTTAGTACATCTTGGTCATTTTAAATCATCATTCTTTAAGCTTTTAACTTGTGTTTGTTCCTGTTTTAATTTTATTGTTACATTATTTATTCATTCGGTTTGTAGTGACTAAGTCCTAGGCTTTAGCCACTATTGGGTGCTCACTGAACTCTAATTGTTTAGATGTGTCCTCTTAACACTACCAATGCTTTATATCATGATGTGTTCATTTTCTAGTGTCCGTAATCTGCAATATCCAAAACTTCAATTAAGTTTTCTATACAAAATTAAACAGAAAACAGCCATGAGGTTGTCCGAAAAACAGTTTGCTCCTTTACAATGAACAACATCTGTTTACTGACTTGTGGCTTAAATTTTCTTTGGAAAGCCTCGGCCTTACTATGCACCCTCTAGTGCTGCTCAGAGGAATATCACACAAATCAAATGCGTGGCCCCTTCAGCATTTATGTTTGTTTCAATTGATGGTCTTCTTTTAACTTGTATTTATTTTTTGTATCTACTTGACATTATTGTAAATTAGGGCAGTTTAAATAGACACAATATTTAATTAAATTAATCAAATATTATTTCATGTAATTAATCCAACTCAATTCAGTTATTTTAAGTAAATTTAAAACATTTGTTTTCATAAAATTACATGTAATTCAATTCACTTAATTTAATTTAAAAAAATTTAATACACTTTATACCTTTTCCTTCAGAGTCTTCACTACATACTGTATATAAGTGTGGACAGACATGGATGTAAACTGCAACTTGACTGGTAGGGGGAAGCATATCACTGAGACAGTTATTTTAGTTTATTGAAAGAAACTGTCTTTTCAGCACAGTGTTTTAGAATACGAGGCACATCAGGAGAGGTGAGCGGCTAATTACACATGTCAGATGTCAGATTTTTCACACGTGGCACTGATTTAAAACTTAAAAAGTATTCTACTGTCACTTTCAATGTTATACCTCACTAATTAACTAAGATATTACACATTCAAAGTTTAACAGCAGTTTAAAACATCCATTAAAGTTAGTTACAATATCAGCTTCAGCAATTCTTGCTTACACTCTGCTGTCACTCTTTAAGTTAGCAGCCTTGCAGTTGATGCTGAAGCACAGTTTGGAATGCATGATGTTAAATTCAAGTGAATATACAGTAATCCGTGCATCTAACACACAGTCGGGAAGCAGGAAGGACTTTGGCTTTAGCATGACAAACATTTTACAGCTGTGGTTTAAGATCTCCAGCAATGTGATAAACTTAATCCAAATCATGTGACTTTCATGCATGATGACTGCTGTACTGGCACTCGACCCATAACTACACCCCAAAAACAGATGCATGGCTGAACAAAGTCAAAGTGGAGGTTAGTTGAGGCCACTGACTTTGCAGATTATTAAAATAAAGACAGATTCATCACTAGGCAATGGTATGGTATCCAGATCTCTTCCTGGTCCAACTAGTAACAACAGAATGCGGTAGAATAGTCATTAATGGAGTTATAAAGCAAAATGAAGCCTGTATTAGATCAAGAATCCCTTCCGGAGAAATTAAGACATAATGTGAAATGCTGGTCAGAGATATTGGCCACAACTTGTCCTGATTGTGATTTATTTGCCTAATCAGTGCTACTCTGGTTTGGGCTGCAACTTGTTCTTCTGTGGCTCAAAGAAGTTTTCAATGATGGCATCAACCAAGTCATCCAGTTCCTTCTTCAGGTGTGCCACATCACTGTTAGAGACCCAGAGAGAAGGAAAGAAAATATAAAATTATGTAATGAAGTAATTGTGTTGAATTGACCAGGGTTTCCGTTTACAGTTGAGACATTAAGAGTTAAGACAATTACTTCATCAACAGAAAATTAATGGGCAACTATTTTGAAAAAACTATTATTTAAGTCATTTTTTTCAAGGAAAAATTTAAAAACTCATTGTTCCAGCTTCTCCAATGTGAGAATATGCTGCTTTTCTCTGTTTTATATCATTGTAAATTGAATATCTTTTGTTTTGGACTGTTGGTCAAACAAAACAAAGAAATTAGAAATTTGTATAAATGATTACTCAAGAAAATAATGGACAAGTTGATTGATAATGAAGCCTTAAAGACATTTGTCACTTGAGCTGGTTTCCACAGTGACCTACCTGTTACCAGGAGCAGCACAGAGCTCAGTGTAGTATTTGATTTTTGGTTCAGTGCCACTGGTTCTCATGGTGGCCACACCCCCGTTAGAGAAGTTAAAGGTGATCATCTGACTGGAACTGGAAGTGGGAAGAACCTGGACGATGAGAGGAGGGAGTGACAGTCGGAGAGATGGACAAACAAAAGAGTAACTGTCATTTGTGTTTTGACAGAACAATTACGCATAGGGACGATTACTGTAGTCCCCTCTTTTTCTTCAGATGTTTCCTGTTTTTATCTCAACTGTCTAACAAAGGCAAAGAACACTCCAAAAAATCTTAATTGCAGACAACATAATGTTGCTGCTTTAAATAACAAATGTTTTAACACAACTACATGTCTGATCAAAAGAAAACAAAAAACAAAAACAAATGGCAATGTCCTGGGTGGATGTACATGTGTGAATTTGCGCCCTTACAGCCTTCTTATCAGGTTGGTTGCTATCATAGCCTGTGGTCAGGTCTCGTACGGCAGAGACGGAGAACCGACCACATTTGGTGGGATACGAGTCCTTCTGGCCACTGTAGTTGCGCAGGCGCTCGAACAAGCTGCGGATCACAATCTGATCATGGCAGATGAAGTAGGAGTTCTTAGTGATGTGGTAGCCATACCTGACAGAAGAGTAGAGAGATTACAGTGGGTTGAAAGTTTGCAGTTTTAATATAAGTCTAACTAATAGATATCAATGTCAGATGAGTTTAATGTGTATATGTGTGTCTTACTCTTTATAGACAGCGGTGAGCTGCTGAGAAAGGCTGGTGTTAACAGTGGCCAGATAGGAAATCATCTCTCCCGCTATGGCGGCAGCACTAACTCCATCCTTGTCCAATACAGAGGGACTACACATATACCCTGCAACATACACAGACACTTTCAGTTCATCCCTGGGATGTGTAAACGTCCAACTGCTGTAGTCACTTCCTTCGTTCACTAACAGTGCATGCAAAGGCAAGTGATTCCAATTACAGCATCATAATCATATTAGATGGGAATGCTCTAAACTATGTGATATATGGGTGTTTGACTGAGCATCCGCCATGTTAACCCCAAACGGCCTATAACCCAGTTCATGGTGTTTGACTGCAGACATGGCTCATTAATAGCTGCAAATAACTGAGAGCAAGGTCCTCACAACAAGTAACCAAGACTGTACAACAAGGTTAGAAAACCAG